GAATGAACAACATGTTTATATTGACAATAAATCATAAAAATAAATAAAATAGATTTAACTTCTCTATTTATGGGTTTATATTAAATTCTAAAAAGCTCTTGATATGAAAATGATTCATATTAAAGGCGGTAGATATAGGGATGCCCTGAAATCTTATTGAGATAATTTCAGGAAAAATTAAATAAAGGCATGGATTAATTTTCTTTCATACTAGTTACCCGCCCCGGCTTTGCTCGGTGGGATATACTAATGTGGCGTAATTTAGATTTCAAATAATCATTAAATGCTATTTATTTCATCAGTTTTTCAATTTAAATAAAACTAGTTTTTACGGATTTTATCGCGTGTGTTAACTTCTTTATATTCCCGACGCTTCAAGCACTTTACAGCACCCACGGAGGGGACTGAGTCATATCCAATCTACACAGTATGAACTTATAGTATCTTGAAGTTTTGCAGTTGTATTTGGGTTGGGTTTTCATTTTATTGATTATAGTAGCCCAAGGAGATGGTATCGCCCAACCATCTTCTCTATTGAAAATAAAATATTTTTTGATTTTAATAGCCTCGCGAATCATACTTGGAAGGAATCGGTGTTCTTTAGCGAGGATTTGTGGTCTATGAATATCTGCTGTAGTGACGGGGGCGATCCTGCTGTACGTGTTCACAGACTGCAGACTTCCCGGAGCGTCGTTCCTTCACATCAACTATATGTTCTTTGACGCGGGTTTTATTTGATCTCTTAGTTTGTCCTATGTAAGAGAGACCACATTCACAATCAAGCTTGTACACCCCTACATTTTGCAGAAGGATATTACACTTGACTGATGTTAAAAACTGACCAATCTTCTTCGGCGGTTTTTAATTACTTAAAAAAAGTTCTCCTTTCGTTCGGAAAAATTAAGCCTAACTAAGTAACTTCTTTATCTGTTTGTGAAATTTCATCACAGTCGGTTCGGCGCTTCCAAAAATTAGCATCGACAGACAGACAGTCAAACATTTTGAGCTTAAAAGAAGCCAGTCTCATATTTCTGTATGACTGAAGACAATTCATTTTTTTAGGTGTTTTTATACAAATAGTTAGAGTTAAATTGAATTTATGTATGAATGATGTTAAGCCGGAATTAAGAATTAAGTGCAATACATGTTTAAGTTACATAATGTATGATTTGAAAAATTACAGTATGCGAGCTACATCGGAACGGATGTGAAATTACGTCAGACGGTTTACGTCTTGAATGCCTAGACTGTATATTTTTATCTTAATTAAGCTCTAATATAGGTGTGCAGCTTCTTAGAACGAAGCGGCCGACTGGTTACTATTAGACGATACAATAACGCTTCTGCGAAACTGTTTTCAAAGAAGAGTTTTACCTTATGATTATCTTGTCGATGTTCCTTAAAGTATTATGTGTTTTTATAAATTATTTCGTAGTGATCGGGGATTTTAATTTTATAGTCATGATTTCTACCTATTTCGGCATTGGATGTAGGCATCTCTAAGCCGCAGTTGCTAGCATATATAACTGAAAGATTGGTCCATGTTTACGCCGGTTGGGCAGACTTACGTAATTTCGAGAAAGAGTAATAACAAAGTTAAATTTTTTGAAAGTTTAATTTAAGTAATGTATACATAAAAAAGCTGGTAGTGTAAGAATATATCCACTACCCCATATCGTCCCGTGGGTGTCGTAAGAGGCGACCATAGAATACTATAATACACAATAGAATGGCTGTCAACCTTATTTTGTACGAGGAATGGCGTCGCCAAACCCGATTCGCTGTGTTAACAGAATAAGTAAATTTACACATTTTAGACTTGATTAATTAATCAATTTTAAGCAAGATCATCACTAAAAAAATAGTTTAAATTTTAATACAATATTTGTAAATAGCGTGCAATTTGGCATTTTTTAAATAATAGTTTACGTGGTAGAGCCATGCTGCAGTTATGTTAGTAGTATAGTTGTAGCACGAATGGGTCGGCTCGACCGGGGAAGGACCACACTCTCACAGAATACCAGCGTCAAATAGTAGCTTAATGCTGCTGTGTTTGTATGGTGAGTGTAGAGAACCGGAGACACTTTTTACTGGAAACGAGGCATTCCACCTAAGTCCTCACGGATGGCAACGCATCTGCATTTTGATTCGTAATCGAGGATAGATGTAGATGTCTATGGGCCACAGCAACCACTTACTATCAGGTCGACTGTGTGCTCGTTTGTCATCCTATCCTATAAAAAAAAAACGTCAAAACACATCTCGTGTTGACATTTATACGTGTGAATTGACATGTTAGACATTTTAGTGGCTACGCGGGCTCCGCCCACTCCCCCGTTCTATTATGTATGTATTATAGTATTCTATGGAGGCGACAAAGGTAAATTGAAACAGGAGATGGGCAGCAGCATCTTCCTGATAACTACTCAAAATAATAAAAAAAACTGCGGTTGACAACCTGCCCGCCAAGCGTGTCAACTATGCCAAATTCACAGTCTATGGTGGAGGCCTATGTCCAGACTTTTTTAGGCTGTGATGGATGATGTCTGATGATGAGGATGATGGATGCATAATACAAGCTTAGTTCTTACTTTTATATATTATGTGTAAACAATACAATACGTGTTTCATCAATTAGGCATCTTAAAATCTCCTAAAAGTGAATTTTTCTGTCTTTTTCTTATGCTGATTTGTCAATAATATTATAGTCCTGATAACGCCAATTTCGGTCGGCCGGGAGCTATCTGGTTTTGCTCGCGACTATCATATTTTACGGTGATAACTTATCCCTTGAGTTACTACAACTCTAACCCCACTATATTATATACACATTAAATCACTACATCCATCACGCTCCCAGTACTGAACACAGAACTACCCCATAAATTCCTTCAAAGTACGCTCCTGAGCCACCTGCATCGATTGTCTACCGGCATGTTTCATCATTTCGTTATTCCAACTATTTGGGGGTCACCCATAGGGTTGCCACTCGTACTATAATAATATATAGAATCATACTATATTTGAGTCAATTGTATCTATATTTTTATCCCTAATTCAACTTTTTATATTGACTGTGATTGGAAGTCTGGAGCAAGTATGTTTTATGGAAAGACTTTTTTCCATCATGAATGTAAAATTGAAAAAAGAAAGAAAAAGAGCATGTATTAATTTAATTAAAAATTATTTATTTTAATATGAATCTAAATAGCTCAGACTCCTATAATTATTTTAAAAGTAAGGTATAAGGTAATGTGGTTAGATAATTGATGGTCAAAGAGCATTAACAAATATATATGGAAAAATAAATTCATTTTTGTATTGTGTACATACAGACATAAAGATTAAAAATAAATGAGTACTTTTTTCTCCGGAAAAAAGTACTCATTTATTTAAAAGTACTATATTTTTGCATCCTTTTTGGGAAAAATAAGATATTTGTTCAAAAAAAGGTGGCATCCCTAGTCACCCAGCACTGCGCTTGCGCATAAGAGAATTTTTCCCCATCGATTGTCGAATCTTTGAGCTTTATGGCTGGTCTTTTGTCACTTTAGCCTACTGATCCGCTGGATTATAATATATAATATAGAAGATTACCTCATTACGGATTTTATCACGCAGAGAAATTCCGAGCATAGCCTTCTTCGCTTCTACGCTTTCTATACTCTATTTCTCGCCGAGTGACTTCTTCCTCATGCTGTCTGCAGTGAAGACCACATTTCGGTGCCGTAACTAGTCTTTCTGCCCCTTGTAGTATTAAATTATTAAATATCTATATACTTTTATGTAGGTACACTGTTGTAATACTCTATTAGGTATAAACTTAATTAGTAACGGTTAGCGCGATCAAGAAAAAGGCACTTTCCCAGCAAACTAGCGTTAGCCATATAAAAATACTTCGGCTCGTATCGAAAGTAATAATATCGTTATTCTATATTGGAAATCAAATAAACGATTAGCAGTTAGATTTAATTTTACGTGGTAGAGCCATGCTGCAGTTATATTGTAGTATAGTTGTAGCACGAATGGGTCGGCTTGACCGGGGAAGGACCACGCTCTCACAGAATACCAGCGTGAAATGGTAGCTTAATGCTGCTGTGTTTCGTATGGTGAGTGTAGAGAACCGGAGACCCTTTTTACTGGAAATGAGGCATTCCATCTTAGTCCTCACGGGTGACAACGCATCTGCATTTTGATTTGTAATCGAAGATAAATGTAGATGTCTATAGGCTACAGCAACCACTTACCATCAGATGGACTGTGTGCTCGTTTGTCACCCTATCCTATAAAGAAAAAACCTTAGCCAAATGACACGTTGATGACTGTCTTACATGACAAATGGTAAACGATATAATAAAAAAATAAGTCCAAATTTTGAAAATGGAACTCTGCCAATATTATTGTGTACCGTAAAACGGGGTAAATTGGTCCAATATTCACTTTCAACTTTAATTTAAACCATCTTCCGTAACGCTTAGGGTATTTCATGGTATACTGAAGGATGCATGGTAAGCTCTTTTAGATGTTAGGTATAGCTTAGATTCGCGTATTATTGTGATATTTTGAGGAATTCAACAAAACCCCATTTGGATTCCAATTTACCCCTGACGGGGATAAGTGGTTTAAGAGAGAGGTTAATAGGAATTTTAACTAGGGCTGTCACTCTATCTATCTAAAGTTAGTAAATAGGTAGGTAGATAGGCACCTAACTAATTTGAAAAAAAAACCTTTTTAATGTGTTTAAAAATCGTTTATTAGGTACCTAACAAGAAAAATATTACATTGAGCTTGCATTGCTTGCTATTCTTATATGTTTATAGTCTCCACTTTGAATTCACTTGCAGGTAGGTAACAAACTATTAAACGTTTAGCTTAATAGGTATCAAATATTTTAATAAAAAATAATCCGGTACGTAACAAAAAAATAAAATATAGTCCTTTCAAATCAAAGTAAAAATTATTTTTAATTGCAGTAATCAGTTCCAGTTTGGGTAATAAAATTATTCTTCTTCTAAAATTTTCAAAATTTCTTCCTCGTCTTTGTAAAAATTCAGACTTCTTTCTTTCTTTGTACGGGTTGACTTACTTTTTCCGTTATTGTGTAAGGTAGAATTACTGTTTATTCTCTTCATAGGCAATGGCAATTTAAGTTTTATATACGATATAATTTGAATTTTAGGCTTCTGTGTGTTTTTTGTTTGAATATTTTTATTTTCTTTTCCATAATCTTGTTTACTTGTGTTTTGGTTCTTTTGGTCTTCATCAAAAGTTCTCAAATCAATTTCTTGGCAATCGAAATTTTCAGCAAAAATTATTGGCATTTCTTTAATGGAAAAATCAAAAGGTTCAGGAATCACTACATCAGGATCGTGTAATCCAACCGGTACCTCAAATACATTATCGTCATTTACCTCTTTGCTTTCACCGCATACTTTGATATCGCAATTTCTGTTTTCACCGTTGTCTATCTGTAAATTGCAAATTTTTGGTTTTGTTTTTTTGCCCACACCCTTTCCTTTTGGAGTTTGCTTTAGTGTTCTTTTCTTTTTTGGTTTCAAAGGTTCCTGATCTTCATTCCTTTCTAATTCCTCAGCACTTACACTTTTTCCTGCCACCACCTCCAATTTTCTCTTCTTTTGGGGTTCTCTAATATTCATGGATCCATAGCGCATTTCTTTTAACAGTGATAAGACACTATCATTCATAGCTTTTTTCTTTACCTCTTCGTCCTCTTCTTGCAGAGGAAGCCTTGATAGAACTTGGTTAGCATCTAATGGGACAATCCCACATTTTCTAAACCCGGCTTTAATATTTTTTTCAGCGTTCACACTTAGCTCATCCATTAGTACTTTTAACAGAAATGGAAAACAACCCTTTGGAACAGATGATTGGGTTCTCCCATCGTCAGTTTATCTCCACTTGTTTAATAAGTGACGCCAAATTATCTTCATGGGTCTAAAAACTGCAACGTCTAGGGGCTGTGTAAGGTGCGTTGAATTCGCGGGCAGAAAAATAAAGTGAATATCTTTTTCCTGGCATAGTTTTATAACATCAACAGACAAATGTGAGGACAAATTGTCTCCTATCAAAATTTTCTTACCCTCTTTCTTTTCCCAAAATGGTATAACTATTGTTTTAACCCAATCTTCAAAAATATCACCATCGAACCAACCGGATGAAGACCGGTTAAATCTTGCATTATGAGGCCCCCTCGTCGTCCATGAATCATATAAATGAGCTGCCTTATAGACGACATAAGGCGGCAGGAAAATACCATCTGCTGTGGCTGACATCATCAAAGATATTGACCCTTTAGAGTGATTGACTACACGCTCTGGATACTTGCATCCTCGTCTTACTATCACCTTCTTGCGACCAGGATCATCTGTCAGGTTCGTCTCATCATAATTGATTATATTTTGGGTCGGAACATTCTCCAAAGACTTTGCCAATTCGCCAAAATATTCTTTTATTATGTCTGAAGACACTGCCGCCCTAGCTCTTTTAATATTCTGACATATTCTTTTGGACAATTTATTTGCATGTCTTTTCATGAACCCATTAACATAGTCTATACCAGGCATGTTATTTTTGAATATTTTGTGCCTAATATTCATTGAGTCTAGATACATTTTTATTATATATCTAAGGTCTGTTGTATCTAATGGGTAACCCCAATCGCCGCAAGTATTTAAATGTTCTACTAAATATAGCTCTTCATCTTTGGTTAGTGCTGTTGGCCTACCGTGAGGTTTCATTTCTCGGTTTTTATGACGGCATAGTACCGATTTTGCTATGTTATATTTTTCAGCTACAGCACTTAGGCTATTTTTGGTCAAATCTATCTCGTCTAGGGCTTGTTTTATTACTTGATCATCGTATTTTTTGTAGCGTTTAGCACCTGGTTTTGGTACGTAGTTGCGAGGCATTCTGAAAAAAAACAGTTTATGCTCAGTTCATATGGTTTTTTTGATCAAAAATAGTTCTACTATCTGTATTTTATAGCCTATCTGAATGAAGATAAAAGCAAAAATAGGTAAAAAAGGCAAGCTATAAAAATTGTTTGATTTTTTCTCAGATTCGTGCCCGAGGTAAATAATGGTCTATGGCCAAAATAAAACAATGCGGTTTTTAATGCCTTGTATGATGTAAATAATGTTTGTTAAAATCTACATTAAATTATATTTATTTAAGCGACTATTAAAGAACATATTTAACAGTTTATATAAAAGTGTAAATTACGTTATTCATAAAATACCGAAATGAAATTTACTTTAATTTACTGGGTGGGTACCTACTTTATTTAGGTTTTGGATTTTGACAACCCTATTTAGGAATTCCAATTTACCCCTTAATCAAACCAAATATCCCCCGCGTTGTTCCAATTATACCTGTCATATCCCAATTTCCCCCTCTTGCGTTCCTATTATCTCCAAAATAACCTAAAACCATTTATTCGACTAAAACTATGACTTTCAATGAAATCACGCAATTATTTACTTACCTTCACGTTTTTTCCAAATCCAATCCACTATTATGTCAAGATATACGTAGATTTAACCACTCTTACTCAATATAACTCACAAAAAACTTAAAGTTGAAAGTAACAATATTCACTTGTCCACAACGACCTCCTTTTCAACACGTTTTTCTTTAGTGAATCCTGATTGGCTGGCTTAAATGCTCAATGTAGCCAGTAGCAAAAAATATAAGCTCGTTCAAAAACCAAAAAGTGTTGACTTCTCTTTAGAATGTTACTGACAGAACGGTTTAGAAAAGCAGATTTTTATTCCTATTTACCCCGCAATTCCTATTTACCCCGTTTAACGGTATGCATTTTATTAATTTGTCATTTGTTTACGATTTGGCGCTAAATTGAAAATTGTCTGTGTTTTACGTCAGCATGAATTTAACGCAAGAAAATTTTCGTACAATTATTTTTGATGACTTTCGATGTCATTTAAGTCAACAAGAAAGTTATGATAGACTTCGATTAGCCTTTCATGATAAAGCTCCATCTCGTGCCACTGTTTACAACTGGTTTAATGAGTTTAAACGTGGTCGCACTAACCTCACCAATGACATGCGTGAGGTATGACCTTCTACGGCGACGACTGAAGGTAACATCAGTGTTGTGCGGCGTATGATAGAGACTGACAAAAGAGTGACTTATCAGCAGGTTCGGACAAGTTTAGTCAGGAAGCTTTGTGTCCGGTGGATACCTCATAATTTGACAGAGGTCCAAAAACTCGTGTTGATTGGTGTCGTGAAATGGTTCAAAGATTTAACGGAGGTGATTCAAATGCTGTGTTCGACATAATAACGGGTGACGAAAACTGGATTTATTGTTACGATCATGAAAATAAGAGACAGTCTGCTTTCTGTTTCCTTCCGAGGAGTCGCCAACTAAAGTGAAGAGAGGTGACAGTGTTGGAAAAAGATGGTGGCCTCATTCTTCGGAAGGGCAGGTCATTACGCAACAATTGTTTTAGAGAATCGAAAAACACTTACTGCTGTGGTACACTAATAATTCTTTGCCACTTGTCTTGGAAAAAGTTCGGGAGAAACGACCTCGCTGTAGGATCCTCCTTCATCACGACAACGCCTCATCGTACACCGCCAAGCAGACAATCGACTACTTGTCGACGTAAGGCGTGGAATTACTGGGTCACCGTCGAAGGGACCCTAAGAACGTATGGGCAAAGTCAGTGGTTCCATCGGATGCAGCGATGTATTGATGTAAACGGACACTATTTTGAAAAGATATAATAAAACTAATAACGTGTTAGTTTGTTCAGTTTTTGATTTTCCAAGAACTTTCAGTGTCACCCTCGTAATAACACCATAAAATAATACCAAAATGCTACACTTAAAATATTTCCTTCGAATTCTTGTTGGAATGCAATGTTTCAAGGTTACAAGGCGGTTCTTAACGATCGACTCCATCGACATAATTTGAGTCTGATCAAGCCGAGATGCCCTTGGACGGTAAATGAATGAATACGCGAATCCTTCGTTTAACTCACGCGGCAGTGTTTACACTTTTATAACAATCTGTAGGTATATATAGTTGTGGAGTGTTTCTAAAATAAATTTTGATCAGGTTTGCGACTGGTTCTTCCAAAGGCAAATTATGAATTATTATTATTTAATACTTGGTAGGCTCCTTTTCTGCCTGTAAGTAAATATAGTACTATGTCACGATCAGATGTGTAAATTTTTATATATAGTACTTGTCATGAAAATATTGTATAGTGTTCTACGAAATGAGGTAGAGTGGTGTTACTAGGTACTATATAAAAAAAAAAAGTACGTAGCGTAGTTTGCAAAAAGCAAAAAAACAAATTGGCAATATATTGAAAATGGGCCAAATTAAGAGTACCCTTAACCGACGAGCATGTATGCGTATGTATATGGATGTGGAAGAGGCAAGAGAGGTGTGTCGTGATCGTGCCAAATGGAAGTCTGTAGTCCCTGCCTACCCCTCTGGGTGACAGGCGTGAGTGTTTATGTATATGGTGTTATTCGCAAAAAAGTATAATTAATTTTTAAAACATTGCATTATGATTGCATGAAATATAGTAATTTAATTGATCACCTGTCACCACCAATCCCAGCAACACTACTCCCAACGCCACTACTCCCAACACCACTATTCCAGGAAAGACAAACCATCGACGATAATACGACACGTATTTCGCCTCTACACGTGGCACCTTCAGGTGATGTTGACTCTATGGCGGCTGACCGCTAATACTCTTGGCAGTCTAAGCCGCCGTAGAGTGTTAATTTAGCGGATGGTTGTAAAATAACTATTAATATTTTTAATATAGTAATTTACCAAGTTTTTAGTAAATCCATTTCTTGTTTGTCTGTTTATCTGTCTGTCGTTTCGGGTGGAATTTAATAATTTATTTTAAACTAACTTCCCGATGTCCTGCAAACTTCAAATTTTGAATATAGCTCAAATTCGGATAACAATGCAAGAATATTGTGATAATAAAACGTGGATTTAAAAAAAATAAGTTCACTTGTTTGCGAACTAACGCAATATACTATCGTAACAACTGTAGTAAAAACTATAGAACCCCCAATAAAAATTTGTAGTGCTGACACTGCTGTGTATCAGTCTGAAGTGTTTATAGAGCCTGTACAAATACCGGCGGTAAGCATTCCATCTTAGTCCTTAAAGGTTATAACGCATCTAATAGATAAGTTGGCTCCAGGTTTCCATGGACTGCGGTAGCCACTTACCATCTGGTGGACTGTAAGTTATTTTGTCACTTCAGTTAGAGAAAAATCTAACGTCGTCTTTGACGATATCTTTCCATAACTCGCCGTTCAGAGTAGGGTTGCCACCTTTATTTTAAAATAATATTTTTCCCAAAAAAAGATGCATAAATATAGTACTTTTGATAAATTCAGAAGAAATAAATATAGATTTATTTTTAATCTATGTCTTTTTTCATGTATATTTGTTATTGTTTTTTGCTTTGGCTGTACAGAAACAGAAACCGAAACTTTTTTATTCAATGTAGATTATAACAATACTTATTGAAAGTCACTTTTTTAACATGATCTTACCACCTTACCTTCTACATTCCCTTTGAAATCACTATAGGAGTCTGAGCAATTTATATTCATGTTAAAATAAATTAATTTTTATTTAAACTAATACATGCTCTTTTTCTTTATTCTTTCAATTCTACATTCATAATAGAGAAAAATCTTTCTGTAAAACTTACTTCTCCCAGACCTTCAATCACAGCGCGAAAGTTGAATTAGGGATAAAAATATAGCACGTTATGTACTAGTATATTATTTTTCTATAATATATAGTACAATTGACTGAAATATAGTACGACACTAAGTACGGGTGGCAACCCTAGTTCAGAGTGACCTTAATGTCAAATAATATGTACTTTTGTGTAAAGGTTTCCTTACGGCTTCAATAATCTGTTCAATGTTACCATGAATTTCTTGGCAAAAATCTCTTAAATTATCTGTTATTTTAGTGTATTTCGTTAACAATTGCTATAACTGTGTTGTGGAGACATGAGTATTCACAGATAGAGACAGAGTGTCATAAATGCGACTGAGCTATATCCTCGTGAGACAATAAAAAACTGTGATTGCCACCTCACCTGCCGAACGTGGCAGCTATGTCATAATTTTCCCCTGTGACACAAACTGTGGGGGAGTGACTTTCATAGACTTCAATGGATGGATGGATGAATAAATATATTTAATTTACACAGTAAGTTTTTTTAAATATAATAAGGGTGACAAACGAGCACACAGTCCACATGGTGATAAGTGGATGCTGTGGCCCTAAAATGCAGATGTGTTGTCACCCGAGAGGACTAAGATGGAATGGCTCATTTACAGTAAAAAATGGTCTGGCAAAAAATGGCATTAAGCTGCTATTTTACGCTTGTATTTTGTGAGAGCGTGGTCCTTCCCCGGCCGAGCAGACCCATTCGTGCTACGACTATATATTATATAGCTACAGCGTGGCTCTACCACGTATAAAAGGTGTTATTAAAGTTTTAGCTTTTATATTAATATAATGAATACATCTTTTTTCTTTAAGATAGAAAATTTATATAATGAAAAGTATCAGTTATGGGGTCGAAGGTTATGGGCATACATAATAGATCACCAGGGAATAATAAATGTCCAAGATGTCAAGAAATTAATTAAAATGTAAAGTTTGTGATAAGTTTCTTTGTTTTAAATGTAAAATATTTTGTTCTTTATGCTTTATACTACAGCTCGGTTAGTCATATTTATGTACCTTTATGCATACCGTTACTAATTTTCTTTGTTGTTTCCAGTTTATATCACAATGTTATGTCCAACGTAGGCCACGTATTAATACATTTATGGAAATTTTTATTAATTTGCATGTAGGTAATAAGTACGTTCT